TTTATGCTTTTAATGATGTTTATTTATGCAGGTACACGCCATTAACCTTTCCCTCACATACGTAAAGCTGTCTGTGGTTTTACTGGGTGGATGATATAATTTACCTGTATACTATTTGTAGGCTACCAGATAAATAATGTAATATGCCTGTAGACCATTGGCTAATTAACAGGTGGATTGTAGCCCATTGGCTGGCTAAGCAAACATCTAGCAGAGAAGCTGCACATGTATAACAAAAGGGGCAGTTGTACATTAAAGTTTAAGGATCTTTATCTTAGAACAATTCTATTCCAGGCGTATTTCTCACTAACATTTAGGCCCATGTTGACTATCGCCATCATATATAAATTGTGGAAAACTAATACAATTGTATATGTCATGTACGTTAAGGTAAATATAAAGCTCTTCAGTTTCCATTTGATTGTGTATTATGTGTGCACATAACCATATTTCTGCACTTTGAGTCCAACATACTGATAAGATTCGCTGAAGGCTTTTCTTGTACTGAAGTGGAACTGGGCCAAAACTAACAACAAATCACAAGAAAAAGAGAGGGCCATTTGGAAGGCATTCTCGGAAGGTCTCTTCAGCGTCCTGTGTATTTGGTGTCTCCTAGGTTATATGTTACTAGTTTCTGAAAAGGGAAGCCATATGGTTGCTTAAAGCTGCAGTATCCCTTCTATTTTGTTAGCATGATGCATTTCGATAAGAACAAATTAAATGTATACAATGATACCCATGAAAAACTATATCTGGCTATGTGAGATTTTGTTCTAACTTTTCTTTGCCGCGGAAGTTAGCTCAAACAATTCTAGAAATTAATGCCACGTGTCTTTCACTTCAGAACTTTATTATTGTTTACTGTAAATTTCAAGGCGTATTTGTTTATTTTTCAGTGTTTGGGAATCTGTTGGTTTAACAGTGGAGGAAGTGTTTCGTTCAGAAAGCCTCAGGCAGCCGCTCATTGTCTGCTAGCTCACAAAGTTCTTCCCATGACTAGATCATATGTAATGTACCATGAGCACTTTTATTCCTTTTAAATGCTACTGTTTCATAGAGCTACCCATCGGATACCAATGCTGAAAAAGATTAAGTCAGAAATGGGAAGCATGGTAGTGCCAGGAACTGTTGGGGATGAGGGAGGAAGGGTCTTTCTTCCTCATGTTATCCTGGAACAATGTTCCTGTAGCTATTATTTTTTCCAATTGAGCAAATTAAGATATTGAATGAAATCATTTATTTTGGCCTTAAGTTCTCAAACCTGAGGCACTCTTATGGAATATTCTGGTTATATGCTTGAGAAATCATGCATGAACTTAGTTTACCCTTTGGGATAAGAGGTACAATCTTGGGGAATAGTGCAATGGCTAGGAACTAGCAAGTTTATTTTAAGTTCAAATGATCTGGAGTTTCCTCCATTGTTAGGATTGGAACTCCGAACATATTGCATGCCTCCCACAATGCTTTCAACCACCCTAAATTAAACACTTAGCTGAAAGACAGGGTGCTTCCTTCTGAAGTGCAAAACTGATCTGTTCAACAAATTTTATCCATGTATTTAAAGGTCATAAGAAAAGAAATGGAATTAACAAATATTTTATCCATCAAATTTCAGTCTCTCGTACACCTTTTTTGAGTTGGAAAGTTTCACATGGGAGCTAATCCAAACAGAGTCAGTTTTGTCTAGATTTAATCTGAAGCTGTCTTGAGAAGGAATATCATCAAATTTACAGAATAAAACAGGCACTGCACAGGAATGACAATGTGTATTTAAATTTGCTTGCAAAAATGATCTTAAGGTTGCCAAATGTAAATTAAATTTATTAATTTGGTTCTTTCAGAGTCATGAAGGCATTTGAAACCATATCAAAATTGCTCGTGAAATTCTAATACAAGATCCAATTATCACTAATCTCTGATATTACTTGCTTCAGTTCTTTGAGAAAGAAAGCATTTAACTTTGAATTTCTGGGCCACAGACATGTTTTTGTCACATATCAAATGGCTTTTTGCAGCAACAGAAAAGGGAACACTCAGATTATGAAACACTTAGGAAAAAGGTATGCCCACAGAGTGAAATGAAGGAAGTTGGCAGACTAATCAGCTGTTTTTTGGTAAGTTGTTTCATGTTTTCTGCTTTTCCTGTTTTTGACATTGTTCCACACCCCAAAAACAGCACCCTAACTCTCTCCCCAACTGTACCCCTGCTAAAAGTGCAACCTAAACATAAGCTTCCCTGCCCCCATCACAGCCACTTGGTAAGTAAAGAGATTCCATAGGGAAGTTGTGCATATTGCTGAGTACCTGTGCTTTCTCTGGTCAAATGTCCTGACAATTCTTTTCAGCAATGGTAAATTGGGATTAAGAATTTGCCAGTCACAGATATTGACTTTGCTCCTATTAATCCATGGTGCCTTTAGAAAATAAAGAATTTAATCTAGAATCTGTGCTTTCAGCATATAATTTCGGTTCTGTTCATCTTCAATAATGTCAGCCCTGGGAGATCATTTGGAAGAAGCAGCTTTTGTATATGAATGTAGAAACCTTTTATTGGACTCAACATAACACTGCCTTGTTGCTGACATGACTGGTTCACTATGAGTAAATGGAGTTCATGTTCACAAGGAACCTCTTCATCAGCTGCAGTTACCTTTTGGTATGCGTGACCATGAGCTTTTACCCAAATTCAACTATAATTATTTGCAGCAGCATTTAAAATATAAATTTTAGTCCTTTTAACAAAGGAGCCTGTAATGGTATCAATCACTGCTAAGCCTAACACATAATCCCTCAGCGACATGTTGTTGAGCAGAGTTGGTGTATTTTTGGAAGGAAGGACGAGAATTCTTGCAGCCACTGTGACTCAGTCTATTATTTAGGGTCTTCTGAATCTGGAGTTTTAGGAAATCTACTTCTAACTCTCATCTACTTTGGTGATCCTATGAACTGTTTCCAAGAGGATTTTGGGAGCAAAATATCCATCCACCTTCTTCAATTTTTCATCATACTTGTCTACTGTACCCCTTTCATTTGTTAGATTTATTGCTTTTTGCTTTTAGTACAGTGACCCACAAAGTAATAACCTTGATTTTTTTTTTCTCAAGTATGACACCTTACAGTGGATGGCATGAAATTGCAATTGTGCTTTTCTATTTGTTAAAGAAATTGTAAAATTTTAAAGCAATTTTGGAAATGCATACTGTTATATGGTCCATAGTGGATTAATATATTGTGAATATTTGGATGATTTTTAGAACGAGCTCCATCAGTTGTCTTTGACTTCAGATGCCATAGCCTGTTGACAAAAAGCAGAGAAAGCAATCTAGGAAGAAGGCAAAAACTTTTGTAACATTAGCTCTAATATTAGCAATTGAAATAAAATGCCAGCCATTTTATAGAGATGCCGGTACAATAGATCAGGTATTCAACTATATGATTCACTGCTGAAAAATTGTTGGCCTAGGTTCTTTAATTCTGTCACGTTCATCTGACTTGGTTGAAAATTATTCTCAGTGGTATCAGTGTAAGGTAGTGTTTAAGTTCCACTTGATTCAGACATGAAACTAGAGGAGCTGTGGAGATTTCTTCAAGTCTGAGAGTCCCAATCTTCTTCCTAAAGTAATTCCATGAGATTGCTGGGATTCTTGAGGAACAAATGTACAAGTGACAAATATCTCTGTTTTTATAGCTTTTCATCAACTTTGGCTTAGCAGTTAGTTTGTAACTACGAACCTGTAACTGTAGAGATGAATATGTCCCAAAGATATTCATATAAGAACAACACATCAACCTCAACTTCAACTTTGCAAGAAGTTGTTGAATTTGTACAATTTAGCAGTGAAAAGCTCTGCCTGGTGTTGCATTGAGTCGTACAGATGACAAAAAGTCCATGGTTAAACTCTGAATCTCTTCTTGATTATCCAATCTTGTCGAGGACTGGAATTTGCCTCAATGCACTTGACTTTTGAGGAGAAGTTCAGAGAGGGTTCTCATTCATGGCAATTACCTTGTGACGTTTTCTGAAAAGTTAAAGCTGAATCAGGTTCTTCTGTAATGCCCTCCAAGGTTGAGTAGGCTGCTGACAGATTTAGATTTATATGAGCAACAGTGAGCTGTTGAAGATCTATTGCAGCAGTGAAATTGTTCAGCTCAACACTGAAAGGAAGACAACTGGTCAGAGGAGGAAAGGCTGATGTAAAGAAAATCAGCTTGGGCAATGGAGATTCTGAAAATTTTCATCTAAATAACAAACAAAATAATCTCCCTCATGTTTTCGTCTTTGAAAATTAACTTATTTAACTTTATGACTATCATTCTTAATGTCCCTCACAGACTTTAATTGTATTTCTGAGAATATTGCAAATTAGGAATTGTTTTATGTGAAAATGAAGTCTTTGACAGGGATATTTAAGCCACTGTCCTAAAGTGCAAATTTTTCATTGAACTAGCTCAATGGAAGTCAAGCAGATGGATATTTCACATCCCATGTTATGCTCCTGCCTTGGAGATCCTGAGTGAACTGACCAGCCAGAAATGACATCTGTACAGAGTTGGCTCGATCCTTCTTCTGCTTATCAAGCGACTGTATTATCAAGACTCGAATGTGATAATAACTCACTAGCATGGATAACAATGAGTTTCCTACCAGAGATACATATCCAAATAAGAAGAGGCCCAAAAGGTTTTTTTTAGCATTGTTTTACCCCTGTTCTGGGGCAAAAAGGAGTAGAAATGTCATTCCTGGGGTCCATACAAGCAAAATTTGGTCCTCCTTTGGTATAAACATTCCCCCATGCTAATGATGAAGACATTATGGTTTCTGATCCTGCCACTCATCCGCAGACACAGGCCAGTGTATTTGCTGCCCAAGTAGGGCAAAAAGACAGCCAATGTGATTTAAATGAGACCTTTCAGTTGAAAGAAACATGGGTATCATTTCTGGATTGGTGAGTGAGTTTGTAACTCACACTCCTGCACACTCAACCAAAACTGAATTTAAACCTGGATCAGTGCCAAGTGTTATTTGGACTCCTGTGAAGAAATAGGAAGTGGAGATCATATTGTGTCATTAAAAAAAAAAGCAAATTACACAATGAGTCAACCTAATCAGGTTCTCCCTTCATCCTCTCAAAAGAATGATTATCCATAATATGCAAGGAAGCTAAAGGCAGCTTGAATATCAGCACACCTCTTGGGGAACCTTCAGATGCTTTAATCAGGTGTGTGTTTTCTTTTGGTAACCTGTAGCATTGGAAGCTTATGGTTTCATTCCTAGATATGTTTAATATGATTTTAAAAGTTGTTAGAACTGATCCAGTATCTAATTGAGATGAAGAATTTTTTTTCTCTCTGTATAATATGCAATGGCTTCGTAAACATATTGTACAATCCATTGCTACAACTAGCATCAAATCAATTATCATTTCAGAACTGTGTTTTGTTCAATTTGTGCTGGGTAAACAACAGGCAGGTGTGCTAAAAGAAACAGGAAACCTGCATTCTCAATGAGCTTTGAAGCATGATCATGTATATCTACAGTCTGATAGATGTAGTTGTGAGTAGGAATGCCCTCCGTTTCTGAAATTAAAACAGGTAAAATTGAATCCTGGGCCTGATTAAGTGACCTTGCTTGTGGTTGATTATTTATTTCACAAAAGTGAAACAATTGACAATGTTGACAGTAGCAGGAACAGCAGAAGCGGCTGCAAATTAGTTCTGGACCTTTGCATGGGGTTGCTTCTAAAAGTTTCCATGCAATAGTTCCATAATTCAAGCATAAAGAGCTTATTACTTGCTAAGTTACGTCAAGCTGCTGATATAAATTGTACACATGAAGGTTTATTGTTATATGTTGAAAAGGGGTTCTGTAAGGTGTCGTCATTTTTTTTCTCTCTGCTCTGCTGGTATCTTAATCCTTGTTTTTATAGGATGATGGTCTGCCCTATATTCTCCATTTATTAATCCGTTGCACAAAATATTCCAGCCCAGCACTTTCACGTGACAGTTGTGCCCTTTGTGAGATGTGCACATTGACAAACCTGGCACCAGAACAATTGTAAAAATTTCTTCTCATTGACTGTGTATGCCCCAACATAGATGCTTTTACTGTGTGAAGTTGACAATTCAGCTTAATTGTAGAGTGGCAAGGGTTGAAAGATCAATTATGCACATAACGCTAAGTGACAAAGTTAAGGAAATTAAAATCGCAGTATATTGTAGAAATACCTGCTTTAAAAATTCCAAGCTTTCAAACTTTCTTGATAGTGTTATTTCCATTCTTCTTTGTGTAATACTTCAGTAAGATGTCGGAACCAGATTTTTTGCAACATTGGTCAAAATATTGGTTAGCATCAAGGGACATATCCTTCCTGTATTCATCAAATATCTCAACATTGAACTGTGCCACTGATAAAATAAGCAGTGGCAAATCATATCCAAGTTTTACAAATACAGTTTTTTTTTGCCTGCAAAATATCATATTCTCACCCCAAGCATTGATCTAAATTCCACCCTTTCAATATGTTACAGAAAGGGAGCCATTTAGTCAAGTTCTTTAATAATATTGTCATCAAAATTATAAAACACCATGTCATGAATTTTTTTGCCGGTATTAGCATACTCATTTTTATTAATCATATAACTTTAATATACATTTTCGAACTAACTAAAGAGACCTACATTATAGACAAAATTATACAGATGCAAAGATATGTAACAACCTACTTCTCTAATTAAACTCAAAAAATTCTCAACAGTTTTAATAATATTTTGCTATCTATATTGATTTGCTTGACTAGTTGCATAGCACAATATGAATTATACATTTTAGTTGTGAGACAGCAATAACGCATATTATAAGGTAAATAAACTTAGTAGCATTACTTATTGAAACCACTTTCCAAATTGATTTCTCACCCTAGTTAACATAATTGATGAATACTGATTTTACATCCTGTTGAAACCAAAACAGAGAATTGAACAGAAGCATACAGGACAAACACAGTTTCAGTAAACAAAGGTGAGGCTCTGGATAGGACTGCTTTTTGTTTGTTTTGATGTTCTTCACAAGCACATTCTTTCGAAATCACATCCTCTTGGTGTGCATAATGACATCCTTTAATTGTCATTCTGCCAATTACTGTAATAAGAGCCAAGAGTCTTGAGACAGGTGAGTGCTAGAAAATGATCACCAGGCAACCCATTCAAATGGCACCACACACTGAAACTTGAGCAGCTTTATAGTCAACATATTAACTATGATTTCTGCCTGTAATCTGTCCTGTGTAACTTTAAGACATTTGATGCAGTTTGGGTAATTTGATTTCCATTTTAATTCTACTTTTCTTTTGTCAGCATAGATAGTAAGGCAGTTGTTAGGATCCATAGAATTAATATGTGACGATGCCATTGTAGTTCTATCAGCTGTGAGGTATGTTTGGTTAATTTATTAACTCTATTCGAGAAAGTGACAATAAGTATGTGTAATGTAGGCAACGCCTAAAAATCTGGTGTGTGTGAGACAAAGAATAACATCTAATTTCTGGGAATGTATCACAGATGTGATGACAGATACTGTGGAGGATGTGTGTGGGAATGTGGTAAAGACAAAGAGATACATTGGAAGATATTACATGATGGATGACTTTTTTAAAAAATAAACTTAACTATTGTAGAAGCTGAACAAGGTTAAAAACCTGAACGAAGTTTTATCTTTAGGTTACGAGAGCACAAAATGGTCTTGAAGGAGCATGTTATATACAGAATAACATATAGACCCCAGCAGTGTGTTGGGAGGGTGGGGGGCACTGGGATAAACTTGGGGGTTTTAGCAGATGCCACGCCCATCACCTTCCTGCCCTCTGTTGTTATCTTTGCCACTGGGAAGACAGCCCAGTAAAACATGGTGTCCTCCCTTGCAGCTTGGGTGGAAAGTTCCGCCCCAATCAGGCAGGATTGTGGCCTAAGTAGAACTCCCCCAACTGGAAGACTGTGCCCCTGCCCTTGGCAGTGCCTGACAATTTGGTTCTGGTGAGCCCCAACCACTCTTACCTGCGCACCAGACCTCCTCCATTGTGGCCAGCCTGGGAACTGTTGCAATACCAACAATAGCCACAAATTTGTTTGTGCTGCTTGGATTGAACAGCTGTCCTCTCTCTGATTGGCCAGCAGCCATTAGAGGTGGGACATTCAGCCTCCGAGGAGTGGCAGATACAACTATAGGCAATTAGTTGAAGGAGATCAGGTACAGATCATGGCGTCCAGAGCTTGCAAAGGCAGTCTTTCCTTGACTTTCTAACTGGTGTGTGGGGCTCCCAACTCTGTGTAAAATCATGGCCATTGTCTAAAGGATGTTATTGGCAGCATCACAGTTCATGATTTAGATGGCATTATAGAATGAACAACATACATCAACTTTATTACTGTTTTGAAATAAACTGTGGTGTTGGTTATTACCTGAATATATATAATTGTTCTTGTATTTTTGAATCAATTTTTTTTTTGTCAGTAGAAACTTCATAGTGTGCCTGGTCTGATCTCATGAGGTAACCTTCAAATCAAAAGTCATAATTTTGCACCAGAAGCAGAGCTGCTGTAATATTATATTTTGTACAAACAACTGATGGGATTCTATTCTTTCAAACCACTCCTCTCTTCCAAAGTTTCTGTTTACTGGAGCTCTTTCATAAGGTGGTTAGTCTAATTCACTAATTTCTTTCCTTTTCTCCCATCCATCAACAGCATGATTAACAGATTGTGTTGTTCCACAAGATAGTGTCAACTGAACGTTATAACGAATAAAACTTTGAACATTGCATTTCCCAGTCATCAATTGTAGATTATTGAAGAACAACTCCTGTCATTATGCCATTATCTTTCATCTTTGAATTATGTTGTCCCATTATTTACCAATTCAATACAATAAGCTGCAAACAGTACTTACATTATGGCAACTTGAATAAAACTGCCTGGACTAATTAACATTGTTAGACATGACCAATTTTAGCTCTGTTTCTCTTGATGATGAGGAATAATTCAAACTTCAACCTTGTATGTTCAAACTTCTTCTGGAGATTTATGACATGTTTTGTGAGGCGCTTGATGAGATGGCTGTTTTGTATTCATTGTTCATTACGTATAGCCAGGGACTTTTGTTACATAGACATTGTGTTGTTACAGGTATTCCTGGAGTCAATAACCGATTGCAAAAACTGAAAATAGCAAAAGGAGAAACAAAGATATTAGGAAGTGAAATTATCACTCTGACGTATATTGTCCTCTCAGAATTTTAGTGATTTTAGATTGTAACATAATCCCTGATGTTCTCCTTAAATTTTTAAGATCAGCGGCGGAAAGTACTGAACAACAGTTAGGCTTGGGCTACAATTTGGCAAGCACCATTCACATCACTTAAGTGCCAGGCATTGATCATTCTCAGCAAGATATAATCCAACCATTATCTTTAACATTCAGTGGCAAAACCATTGCTGAATGTCCCACATTCAACATGCAGTAACTAAACTGGAATGGACATGTTAAAATTACTTTGGCTATAACAGCAGATCAGAAGCTGGGCATTCAGTAGCAAGTAAACCAATTCCCCACTGTCTGTCCTCCATCTACTAGGCACAAATCAGAAGTGTGATGGAATACTGCCCACTTGCCTGGATGGGTGCAGCTCCAACATTACTCAAGAAGCTCCAGAGCATCCAGGTCAAAGCCACTGGGGAAACAGTGATCTACGAACCATCCATCATCCTAAACTTTCACCTCCATTCAATAGATCAAGAGCAGAAGATGCATGGGAATACCACCAACTGCAACATCCCTGTCAAGCCACTGATGTGGATCAGTATTGTTATTCCTTTGCCATCAATAAATCAAAATGCTTCCTTTGGAACTTCCATTCCAGCTGCACTGTGGGTGTACCTGCACCATGTCGGCTGCACCGGTTCAAAAAGTAGTACAAAACCAGTTTCTCATGGGGCAATTAAGGCTGAAAATGAGTGGTAGTCTTATCAGCTATGCCAATATCCCAAGAATGTTTTCCTTTTAAAACAAAAACAGAAATTGTTGGAAAAGCTCAGCAAGTGTGCCAACGTTTGAGAGGAGAAATCAGAGATAACGTTAAGGGTCCAGTGACCGTTCAGGTTCTGTTTTTGTTTCTGATTGCTAGCATAGTTCTTTTGGCTTTTAATGCTTTTTTTGAATTCTATCAAGC